CAAGATGGTCCATAATGGGAAGCACAAAGCATGCACTTTTTGGAAGGATGGGCATAAGATTGTCTTGTTGCCGTTATGGAATGTTGCCCCACCTAAGTCGATTAAGGAGGTGGTGACTTTGCTCTCCTTTCGAAAATTCGTGGAGGCGAGTATAGACACATGACAATCTTAGGGCAACACTCCTTAGTGCCTAAAACCCTTAAATCTTCGATGGAGGAGATTGTGGACTTTACACCGGATGAGTTCTCAGTTAGATTACTGCTGATGAGGATGAGGACTAAATAACATTATATTGACCAATTTTCGGGATCTAGTTTGCTTAATTTACTGGCATATCGGTTGAGTCTTAAGGAGCATGAGGTGTTGAAGTATCAAGTTGATGAGTTACTAAGGGACTGATTTGACGGACTATGAGCGATATGCTGTTTGGTATTGCTCATGCCAATGAAGGATGGAACTTAGCACGTGTTTTGATAGCTGAGTTATAAGCAAGATTATACAGTTAAGTTTTGGTTTCCGATGCTGAGAGTTGATGACATATTGGATATATTGCCTGGTTCTTTAGTGTTATTGAAGATAGATATGAGTAGTGGATATCACCAGATCCGTATTCGAGAAGGGGAAGCGTGGAAGACGGATTTAAGACGAAGAGTGGCTTGTACAAGTGGTTGGTGATGCCATTCGGGTTGTCCAACAACACACCTAGTACCTTATGCACATGATGACTCAAGTACTGCCTGACTTATTGGGTTGTAGACTTTATTGATGGCATTCTGGTGTATAGCACTGACCTAGAGGCTGACCTCCATCATTTTTGGGAAGTGCTTTTCTTGTGGGCTGAGAATTTATACATTAATTTTAACAGTGTAGTTTTGTGACAAATGTTTTGGTGGTGTTGGGTTTTGTGGTGTCTACAAATGATTTTAAGGTGGAGAAGGTTAAGGTGATTGTTGATTGGCATATGCCTATCATGACTGAAGTGTGGATATTCCATGGACTTGCCACCTTCGATAGGCGGTTCATTCAGAATTTCAGTACCATTATGACACCGGTCACAAAATGCCTCAAAGGTGAAAGTTACTGATGAACTTCGCAGCTGCCAAGGAATTCAAGGGGATGGTTGTACCTTTTTTTGCTTTGCCTGATTTCACTTAGGTATTCGAGGTTGAGTGCAATGCTTCTCATGTGGGGATTTGGAGATGTGTTGCGTCGAGCAAAAACCTATTGCCGTTTTTTCAGTGAGAAACTTACTGATGCAAGTTGGGGGGTGGGGGGGGGGGATTTGACTTATGACATCGAGTTCTATGTTGATATTCGACTGATCACGATGCATTAAAACACATTGACAGTCAAAGTAGCCGAGTGCGAAGCATGCACAGAGGTGGCTTATTTGCAAAAAATTACATTCACTATAAGGCATTTGGCTGGATGATGAAACAAATTGGCCATGGGCTGATGCCCATAGTCAACTGTCTATTCAGTTAGGACATTGGCAGCTGACTTGGTGTGTCTTGAAATGCATAAGACCAATCTAGATGATCCTTATTTCAAGGATATATTAGAGGGATGTTGATAGAGAAATGGTAATTCTTATCACTAATTAATCCTTTCTGATGGTTATTTGTTTTATGGTGCCCTCCCATGCATTCATAATACATCTTTTAGGGAACTTCTCATTGCTTATTTGCATTCAGACGTTTTGAAGGGATAAAACATTTCATTGATGGAGGAAAGATATTTATGGCCTTCTCCGCCAAGAGATGTCTGGAGGCTTGTTAATAGGAGCATGAAATGTCAAAGTGACCAAGGGGCATTCCTCAAACACCGGTTTGTGTGCACCATTGGCTGTTCCAATGAGGCCATGGTCTCATTTATCAATGGATTTCATTGTGGGATTGCCAAGGAGAGTAATATGTGATGATTCAATTATAGTGGTAGTGGATAACACTATAATTGGTACACTGTCATGTAGGTGGACTGCTGATCCTACTATGATTGGTCATCTCTTCTTTAAAGGGAGTACGATTGTGTGAACTTACTGAAACCATCATATTGGAACACTTGGTTCCTTAGCCACTTTTGGAGTGCATCAGTGGAAAATATTGGAACCAAACTGCAATTCGACGGTGCTTATCACCACAAACTGATGATCAAACTGAGATAGTTAATAGGAGTGTGGGCATTATGCTCAGGAGTTTGCTCGTAGAAAATGAGAAAATGTAGGATTTGGTACTCCCACGGGCTGCATTTTCATGTAACAATTCTCCAAAACAATCAACTGGAAAGACTCCTTTTAGTGTGGAATATTACTTTTGCATTTTGATGATCTAATTCCTTTACATATATGAGAGGATGTTGATGTAGATGCTGCAAGCCTAAACACATGGAGTTAAATGAGAAGGTTCGAAAGAAGTTGGGGGAAACCTATGAAAAGTACCATAAATCCCGTCAATTGACATTGATGTGTGCAGCGGTTCGGAGTTGGATACCTTATGATAGTGTATCTCAGGCCGGAGCATTTTCCTATTGATACCGATGGCAAGTTCAAAGCAAAGAAGATTGATACTTTTAAGAACAAGATAAATAATAATGCCTACGAGGTGGAGATATCAGGTGGATGGAGTATCTCCTTGATCTTCAATGTGACAGTAATCTGATGGCTTCAAGTCTTCCTCTACCAAGGGATGATGATGTAAATCACATCTAGGAGCTAGTTTGACAGTATTCATTTTTTTCAAATTTGAAGTAGCAAGTGTTGGAATTGTTTTATTTGTTAGTTACCATATTGTAATCTCTCATTAAGGAGTTAATTTGTGTTTTAACTTAAAAGTCTAGGATAGAATAGTGTGGTTAGAGACCCCATGTAGTCAACAAGTCAAGTAGCGCAATATGTTTTTTTTTTTTTATGTTCCCATGAGTCAAAGAGTCAATGTGGAGTTCTTATGTATAGGACTTTGGTTATGTGAATAGGGACTTGGAACATGGGAAGTTGGTTGCATGCATGGGAGTTGGTGCGCTGGAAAATGGCCATCAATGGTAATGCATGGAATTCTCTCACTTCAAGGAAATTTTTACCAATTTGTTTGGGATTTGCGTGAGGGCAGTTTGGTCTTTATGTCAACTAGGGATGTGCACATTCTGAACTCTTTGTAATTTTGTATTAGTTGATGGTATTTTGATTAATGAAATGAAAATTCCCTCCTGCATTGGTGTAGTAGAGAAGACCCCTACTTAGTGTAGAGGTACAACCTACTTGGAGTAATGGTGTGGTTGGGGCTGGAAAGACCATAGTTGTTGGGATCGGGAGCGGGAACGGTCCCATTATCGGGATCGGGAGCGAGGGATCGTGAAATGCTAGAAGATCCCTATAGTTGGGAACACGGTCTATACAATGCACATGTTAGGGATCGAGATCCCCAAATGTTAGGGATTGAGATTCCAACCTTTTGGGGATCTTGATCCCGACCTTTTGGGTTTTTGATCCCAACTTTTTTGGGGATCTTGTTACCAACATTAAAGTATATGATAATCTAGGATTAAGTACACTCTTTAAAGTAGGGATCTCATTATTGATCGCCAGTAGGCAATAGTTGTATTGCTAGTTGGCTATAAACAAATAAAATAATCAGTTTGGTTGTTGTCTTAATCAATAAGGTTGGGATCGAGATCCCTATAGGTGGAGTTCGAGATCCCAAAATTTAAAAATCGAGATCCTTGAGAGATCTGTTCTAGGAGTGACAGAATCGTGATCCTAGAAGGGATCGCCTACCAAAGTGATCCCAGTAACTATGGGAAGGACCATTGTTCTTTTTCCTTTCTTAATAGTCATTAAGGAGAGCTCGACCCAGCGGTGTGTAAGGATGACTAGGCTGACACAGCCTCTTTTCTCTTGGGCATTCTTTGATGGTGATCTTAGAAATGGAAATGTTTTTCCTTCTCTTGTTCGATCCGCTAGTGCTTCAAGCAATCGTTGAGTTCGAGTTGTTAGTGATCCAGTCTTTGATCTTACTAGTCCATGCTCCCAATTTTGCACCAGAGCTCTTAGAACTATATTGATTAGTTGTTTGTTTGAGTTCTTGTTTTGAACTTACAATCTACTCCAGTGTTGTCATTTATTGTTTCTTATATTCTTCTTGATAAATAAGTACTGATGCATTAAGTTAACCATTCTCCAAATAAATAATAATAATTTACTGATGCATTATAATCAGTGCGTAAAAATACATCTATATATGCACATAGAACAATTTATGTGCAACACAGCATTTCCATGTAAGTACAAGATGTGAAGCACATCCTTCCACCCCAAGTCCTTGGAGTTTTTGAGGGGCATTTATGCGATGATCAAGGTTGTGATGCCCCTAACTTCACAGCCTCTGATTCTTCTTCCTTCCAATTGCAAACTAAATATTTTGTTGTTCCTGTGTTTAAAGTCTTCAGAAGAGAGCCCTCCATTGAAGGCAAGTAGCTGTCTCTTTTATTGTCCATAGACAACCGAAAAGATATAGGGAGAATAGGCAATACTATTAGTTTTGTACTTTGAACTCCAATGATATGACTCTAGTTTGAGTTACTTGGTATATCTGGTGCTAGATGTAATAGTTCTTTTAAATTTGTAAGTTTATTACACCAAGCATTATCGGGTTCTACGTTCGTCCCATATTATGACCCGTCTTTAGTTAACTACAAGTACCAGTACCAAGTCGTTCCATTTGTCGCATTTTTACTAAGAACAAATTTTGGTAGAAATATATCTGATCTCATCCAGGTAATATAAGAAAGCGACATTTTTTTTAATTTTCTTGTTCTTCTTCTTCTTATAACCATTACATGTTATAGAGTTCAAAAATAAATCTGTAGAATTGGCATTTTAGATGTACTCATTTAGATTTCTTACCATTAATGTACATTGGTATACACAATATAGGATGGACTTCAGTTTTTGTTACTTCAGTTATAGAGCTAATACTTCTTATGCTTTTGCATCACCCCTCTGACAGCTTGCGAACGCCTTGTCCTCTTGGATTTTGATATACGGGAATTAAGGGACTATAGCATCCTTCTTTATCACGCTGGATTTTTCGAAGAATCTTTACACTACCTCAAACTCTATGAGAATTCCAAGGTAACAACTCATACTTGTGAATATATTAACACTTTCCTTTACCTGTTTGTATCTTAGTCATACCGAAAAGGTATCTCTTTCTTTGACTTCTTATCAAAATTCAACCGGAGGAGAATAAGTCTCACTGAAGTACTGCCTGTTGTATTGATTGATACAGAGTAGCACTCAAACAAAGAAGTTCTCTTCAGATCTAAATTGGGCTCTGGAGGAAGATGCTGAGAGAAAGCTCGTGATTCGTCTCAAACTCATATCAATGGAGAAAGGATGGAGCAAACCTAGTACCCAGAGTTTATGGGGCACTTCTGAACCGTGGTAATCATTTCCCCAATTCTTCCATTGTCTACCGGTGATCTGTTAAAAGCATGATGCAAATTGTTTAGGAATTTCTTACAAATCAATGTCGAGTGTAAATATGTGTGTAAATTCCACAATAAAATTGGTGTTTTGTTGGGTGAGTTTTTTTTTTATCTTATTCGTCGTTAGAAATTTGGTACATGTGGTGTCGGGGCATGCTAAATTAATTCATTGTTAGGGATTTCTGTCAAAGACGATCTATTGCGAGATATTCAAACTTAATCCATTTTTTTTTTTAGAATTTAAAAATAGTCCTATATTTTTTATTTTACATAGGGCTCAGATTTTTGGAGTATATAGAGTATTATGGAGGTCACAATCATTCCCACTCATTAGATGGTTTGCGGTGAGTCACAAAGCCCGATATTTTTTTTTGAAACTTTGTATCTATTCAATGACACTTTTACAACCACCCATTTTAGAATTTAAGAGAGAACGAATGATTGTGACCTCCATATCCGAAAGAAAAATGGTCTCTTGGTAGACAATCCTTTATATTTTATCTATTTGTTTTTTTTCCTATTTATTGTATTAAGTTCAAACTTGGGCATCACCTCTTGTCATAATCAAGCACCCATAAAAAAGTGATAATATAGTTTAATAAAAAATCGGAAAAAGCATCCAATTCGAGTTTAATTCATTGTTATAGGGGAAAAAAATAAAATTGAACACTACACGGTACACTCAAAAAGTGAGACTTGAATGTAAAATGTTCATACTATTTTTAAATTCAAAATAAAATGGAATTTTTACATAAATTTTCCTGTAAATTAAATTCATATCAAGAAGTTACACAGTATTTGATTTTGAAGATGATGGTGCATAAGGGGCCAAATTGGGGCTCGTTCTACCTCATGAGACTAGGACTGAAATAATGTACAACCGTGGTCCAAACTCAGCCGTATAAGCTAGGTCGGGTCTGGGGTTGGGATCGGACCTGAGAAATTAGTTTTAGCCTTGGCTTGGGCCTGAGACTTTAGTTAGCCTGGGCCCTGCCCAAATTCATAATAACCAACAAAATCGTGCTGGGCTTGGCGAAAAAAATAACATGTTTGATATATGTATACATCTTTAACAATTACCAGGCCACGCCAGCACCGGGGCTAAGCATGTGGTATCTGGGCCTAGCCCAAAGATTTCAGGCTGCCATTAACATGTGGCCCAAACTTGGGCCTTGCCCGAGGGTCAGCTTGCTTAGTTTTTTTAGGTAATTATGTTGGAAAGGATCCTCTACTGTGATGGGAATGGAACTTAAGACGAACCTGGCAACCACATCATAACAACCTAATTATAATTATCATATATCCCTCACCCTTCCTAGGCCACTATAGGCCTTATTTGTCAACTTGAAAAGGTAATTGATGTATCAAGGGATGCATTTCTACAATTTAAATGGATGTAAACAAACGGAACCTCATCAAGATTCAAAACTAAGGGTGTTAAAACCGAGCGATCTAATTGGTAACCGCCTAGTTAAATCGGAACTGGCTACTGGCTGGTTTTGGAACTGGGTTGGGTATTAAAAAAAAAAATTAAAAAAAAAAAAATCCCTAAAGGTACGGATTTTTTTTTTGTAATATATTTTGTAATATTTTTAATTATTTTGACAGATTAGAAATTGTTTTGGTCATTAATACTTACTTTTATATTTTTTCATTTTTTAAAAAAATTTCAAAAATACCTCTCGACACAAATTGATTCTTTATACATTTTTCTCATTAATTTTGAACTTCATTTGGATGGATTTGTATAATCATTCTTTAAATATACTTTTCATATTTTATTAAATTTTATTTTTTATTTTTTTGAACACTTTTTTGGCCATCAGGGACTTGCTTGGTTAGAACAGTTGAATGATCCAGTTTACTGGTTAGGCCGGTTGACCCGCTTTTGAGCCCATGTCCTATTAACCGTTCTGGTTTGATTTTACGAACATTGGTTAAAACTATATTTTAAAAAAGAAAAACTCATTTTTTAATTTTAATTTTAATTGTAATTTTATTTTTTTAATTTTTCTTTTATTTATTTATTTATTCATTTTTTTAGATTCACTGTTATCATGGTTTAGAATTTTAATCTTTAAAATTTTAAATCCAATATCCATCTTTAAATAGATTTTAAACATGACTCATTTAAATAGGTGAGGCGACCGATTCATTGTTGTCCTATTTATAATGGGAGGAGTTTGTATAGAGCTTAGGCTCTAAACAATCAAATTAGAGCCTACCTCAAAAATTCCATTAGAAGAGGTTGTTTTGATGCTCAAATATTCTCAAATTGATCATCTCGACATCAAGCTGTATGGACTTGAGAAAAAAATGAATTTCAAATTTTAAAAATAGTGCATCTTGTAGCTCATTTTTGGATCGTCAATTTTTAAGTTATTCAAGTTTTCATAGATATGCTTACTCTATACTATTTTTGAAGCTTTAAATTTTATAATTAAAAATAAAAATATAATTTAAGGTTAGTCAAAGATTTACAGTATTGAAATCACATTTGGTGACACTATTTGAAGGTGGGTTCTAATTTGATTGTTTAGAGCCTCCGCTGTATACAAGCCACAATAAATAGCTGCCTGCTTATCTTCGATGTTTAATTCGGCAAGATTCTTATGGAAATCGAATTGAATTCAAAATAATTGGCACATTCCTGAGAGCATTTCACTTATAAGAGGCGAGTTGCGGGGTTACAAGAAAGTGGTGTGGATTTTCATGCACAAAAAATATGAAGGAATAGTATCATCGAGCCTTATGAGGTCTCTTACTCCATTCTCATTAAAGAGTAGGGCCTAAATCCACACTGGCATATCACTTTTTTTTAGAATGGCCTGGAGCCTGGGCAGTAGTATTGTCAAACTCTATGAAGAGGTCTTTGACTCTATTCTCACCAAAGGGTAGGGGTTCAAATCTCCACTGACATATCACTTTTTTTAGAAAAAGGGCTGGGGTCGTGGTGGTAGCATCCCTACACCCAGTTATCACATCGTAGTATCCATTTCTACCACTTATATCTCCAATTAAACACCTTCAAAATGTAGCTGCCTAATCTATTGAGAAAACGCGTAAAGCCACACCTTGAAAGCCTACTAAAAAATGCAATCTATGAAACTATTTGCAGTTTTGACTATAGAATTTGAAGCTTCAAAATGATATGGATTTGATAGATCCATGATACTTGAAATAGACGGTCCCAAATGCGTGTTATAAGGTCTATCACATTTTGATAAGAATGGTAGGGGGGCAGTGGGCATTTATTGGTTTGGGTCCTAGGGTGCATGTTGCGTCCGAGGTTAGGGCATGTTTAATATCTATTACTTATTTGCTCTAGAAGTCGGAAGTTTCTGATTCTTATAACATCATGTTTGTCAATATAAGTACTATGGCAAATAGGGTTTTTGGAACTTCCATTTCCCCATCAAATTGGGATATGCCACTTGCCGTTCCCTCAGCCCCTGCTGGGTGCAGGGGACCATGAAAGATGCAAGTCTAGAAAAGGTGGGAGGGACTGCGGCCTCATTTTGCATTTTTTATTTTTTATGTTTTAAACTTAGGTCAACATGAAATTTGGAGGGTTTATGCGTCTCATGGGGGTTCATATGTAAAATATATAAAAAATAATTCAAACAAAATAAAAAAATCAAAATACCTCTCAAAATTCTCGATGCATTTTGATAATTTTCTAGGCCTATAAAAACAACTCTTCTTAAAAAACAACTCTTCTTGAAAAGGAAAGAATCATTGTGATGACGGAGATTGTAGGGGAAGAAAGAACTCACTGATCCACATTTTCCAAGAATAATTGGTTTTAGTCAATCGGTTAAGTGGTCTTAGTGGGACCTGTTATCTATTGAACAAGAAATGCATAACTTCAGGATGGGCTAGATGGAAGGGTCAAGCCCAATTGTGGGGCTTTTCCTTGTACACAACGACCAATGTCCTGAGGCAGGTAGGCACATCATTGTGGGGCTTTTCCTTGTACACAATGACCAATGTCCTGAGGCAGGTAGGCACATCATTGTGGGGCTTTTCCTTGTACTCAACGACCAATGTCCTGAGGCAGGTAGGCACTCAAATGATGTGAAAAGCAAAATTCGTTTACAACCACCTTAACCTCACAAGCCTGGACTGGGCCTACCTCCATATGAGGTTGGCCCAGGGACCGATTTATGTGAGGTTGAAGTTCCACATACAGTTTTGAAGCCGAGTCTTTCTAGCAATGGGCCTAAGGACTGATTCTGATTATTGGTTAGTTTAGATACCATTGCCCCTCGGTCCATAAATGAATGTTTGTGGTACTAGGAAAACCATCTCTTCTTCAGATAATTCGTTGGGACCATGAAAGGGATCACTTTTTAGTGAGCAGACTATGTGTTGGAAACAATTGCAAGAGAAGTTGTCCAACATATGCCTAATTCGTAGAGATATCATGAATCAGGCATAGAGTTTGTCGGCACTCATTTGGGGTGTGTTTTGTAGCAGATCCAGTAAATGATAATATTAGAAATGGTCATATGGTCCTGAACTCTAGAAGGTGTGTGGTGACTTCCGAATGAGTCAAAACTTTAGGTACACTCTTAAAAGTGTATTATAAGCTTGTACATCAAATTTCATAGGATAAGGAGGTGATTTGAATTATAGTTACCCGAATGGCAATTCCGGTTTGGAATTGTGATTCCGCGATTTTTAGGAGGAAACAAGAATTTCAAAGATATGAATCATGTTTTTTAGTTTCATGGAACGCGTTCTAGATTATTATTTGAAGCTCGATTCTTGAAAGGTTGGAATCTAGATTCTATATCACATAATATGAGATTCATAGTTGTACAACAATGCGATTCAACATGTGCAAGATGTTGATTTTAATTTTTTAAGAATTGCGAATCTAAAGATCTACTCAGTCTAAGTAGACTATTGAAATGGATTTCGCCACGAGCTCAAATGGACTAATGTACGACATTCAATCAAGATGGTTTTTTTTGTTTAGTCCTTGGGGCTATTCTATAAAATTTCATGAATTTTTTTGTTTAGTCCTTTGGATATGTATAGAGGTTTTGAATAAATCTAACTCTGAAAATAGCTAGTTTCAGGTTTTAAACAGCAGTTGATAAAGA